GGCCCTGGAGGGTAGTGAGGAGTAGTGTCTGGCAGGGCAGCCCTCATCCTAGACAGGAGACTCCCTGTACCCCTGCTACGCACCTTGACAGGTTGGATACCTGCTCTGGCCGTTCAGAACCCAGCTTCCAACTGGACTGGGTTCTCAGTGAAGAAGCTAGGTCCCTAGTTTCCCAGGCTCCCTTAGCAGGAATACAGGGGCCAGGTGGAATCCCAACCAGGACCCTCCTGGTGCCCCACCCTCCACTCTCCACGTGTTGTCTTGGTTTTAAACTACCATCACCTCAGTCCCCAGAAGTTTGGGGGAAGCTCACAACAACAACAACAACAAAAAAAACATAAGGTAAGCTGGTAAAATGAGAAGCCAGGACGAGGCACAAGTTCCAGCAAGCAGCGTGGACAGGGATTGGGGGCGGATGATGTATAGGTGCTGGATTGTTGCTGAAAAAAAATTGTTCAGCTTTCCTGGTACCCAAAGTGAAAAGAGAAGGGGGATCAGTTACATGGCTCTTATTATGGGGCTGGAGGAGGGACTTTGCCAAATTTTGAGCAAAACCAAAGCTTTTTCCTAACCCTTAGCTCTTGAAGCAATTTTTATGTACAGCTCCAGTCTAGTTTAGTAAGGGACCCTCGGAGTTGCTTCAAAGGCATAACCAGTCAATTTGACTCAGAAAAAGCAATTCCACAAGGTGCTTGAGAGTGTAGTTTTGTGAAGATTCACCAAGTTTCCTTCAGTTCTAGAACCAGCTTATCCACAGAGCAGGGCTGGAAAACCAGTTTGGTCTCATGAGCTGCTCTGATCAGTAGGTCTGGAGCCTTATCCAGGCCCAGCAGGGTCAAGTGCTGTGATCCATTAGCAATGGTTGTCACAGGTGTCAGATTGAAGATGGACATCGCTTTTGCTAGGCGTGTCCCTTCCCTGACCTAGAGGGACATCCTTCGGCCACTGCTCTGTAAATGTCATCTCTTTGTCTTGCCTTTGGAGAACGATTCTGAGTAAATGCTTATGCGTTGTGTTTTCTGGCAAGAACCAGAAGGCAGATGGTACTCTTGGAAGTTACTCAAGATGTTGGAAAGGCTGAAAGTCTTGAATGGAAATGGAGGAGCCCCCTGCTTCCTGGCTGGCAGGTGGCCATCCTCCCTTCACTCAGGCAGTGGCCTGCAGGCACCTCTAGGATTTTTCTTAGGAGCCTCACAGGGGCATCTGGGTGGCTCAGTCGGTTACACATCTGACTTTGGCTCAGGTCATGGTCCCAGGGTCCTGGGATCAAGTTCCAAGTCGGGCTCCGTGCTCAGTGGAGTGCTTGCTCCTCCCTCTCACTCTGCTCCTCCTCCTCCCCCTACCCCCTCTCATGCTATCTATCTTCCTCCATCCCTATCTCAAATAAATAAATAAAATCTTAAAAAAAAAAAGAGTCCCACATTGTCTATCATGGCCCAGGTTAGTTGGGCCTTGCAGATTTTCCCAGTGAGTCTTCCTAGTCACTTCAGAGCCACAGAAAACTTCAGTTTTAGTCCTCCCAAAGCTATAACTATAGGTGGCTATTATAGCTTTTCCTTCTGTACAAAACTTTCAGATATGAACTGATTATGTTTTAAGAGGTCCTCAGTTTGCAATCTGTAACAGATATGCTGTCACTTATTGCTTTTAATGACGCAGAATGCCTTGACCTGGGGTGAAGCCCTTGCTCTATTATGCTCTCCATTCCTGAGGGACAAGGACAGATCATCTCCACCATTTCTGTAGCTCCCCCCACGCCCACCGCCCACCACTGAGGCCCGGCCCCAGGGCAGACCCAGGGAATCAAAGATTACTGAGTGACTTGTGTCTCTCCAGCTGCAGAGCTGAGATGGCTCAGAGTACTTAATCCAGCACAACTCCGAGGCCATCATCAGCACCTGGCACAAGGCCATTAGTGAGGGCATCCAGGAGGTGGTAAGCAGAGCCTGGGGCCTCCAGGGCTGGTGGGGGGATGGGATGGTCAGTCATTATGCAGAGCAGCTGTGCCCACTGTGGATGGGACATCAGAGTGTAAGTGGCCCTCCTTGCAGATGAGGCTCCACTTACTGGCGTATACTTATGGCTTATGGCAGATGGGCTGCTGAAGAAATAGTCTTAAGTATGCAAATCCAGCCTGTGGGGTTGGCCCTGCAGGAGGACTCTCCAGGTCCGGCTGGGGGGCACATCCTAGAGGTATGTCCCATTTCAAGGGAGGCAGGAAGAAAAGGAAATACCTGAGCAGGAGTCTCAGGCTGGAATGACAGGCTAAAACCAGAAGGTAAAAATCAAAGAGTCTACCATTTTTTAGGTTCAAAATATCCACAATAGAGATGGGACAGTCTCCCTCTGACAGCTGTTCACCTGGAAACAGCCTGGGGCTTCTTGACCCTCAATTCCCTAGGAGCCAACACTGAGTACAGAATTTGGCTGTATTACTAGAGGTAGGAATCCAGATCTCCGGTGGTGATGCTGATGCTGTTGTTGGCAGTGCTGAGGCCTCAGCTGGAACTGTAAGTTCAGAGCTAGGAGCCACATATTGAGGAATGCTGACCTAGGGAGTGTGTACAGAGGAGCTAGGAAAACATGGGCCAGGAGGACGGGGATAACAAAGAGTGGGAGAGAACAGGGTGACGGTGTTCACCTGAAGGGCTCCGTGCCGCTGGGGGCGGTGAACATCCTGAGGTCCGTTGGTGGAGGTCAGGGGAGTTAACTGGAGAAGGGAATCCTGAACTCTGCCTGGGAGTCGCCAGGCGGGCCGGGAGGACACGTGGGGCCCCTCGCCCCATCCTAGAAGGACCCTGGCCGGCCAGGGGCCCTGCCTCTCTGAGTCCGCGTGATTCCAGTCCGCAGACCTGCCCCCAGAGGAGGAGAGCCAGAGCAGCGGCGCGGACTTCGGGTCCAGCGAGCGCCTGGGAAGCTGGCGGGAGGACGAGGCGCGGCTGGGTGCAGGTGTGCGCGCGGAGCGGGGGGCATCTCCTGGGGGCAAAGGGGGCGGGGGCAGGGTAGAGGGCATCTCTTGGGGGCGACGGGGCGGGGGACCCGGGGGTTGACCCGGCCGGGGCTGCAAGGCCAGTCGCGGCGCCGGCGAGTGACTCGGCTCCGCATTGCCCTGGCCCAGGCGCAGCCGCCGCGGAGGGCGACCTGAGCAAGGTCCGGCACAGGCTCCGCAAGTTCCTGCTGAAGCGGCCCACGCTGCAGTCGCTGCGGGAGAAGGGCTACATCAAAGGTATCGGAGGGAGCCGGAGCGCGGCGCCGGGGGCCGGGGCGGGGCGGCGCTGACCAGCCTCTTCCCCAGACCAGGTGTTCGGCTGCCCGCTGGCCGCGCTGTGTGAGCGCGAGAGGAGCTCCGTGCCGCGCTTCGTGCAGCAGTGCATCTGCACGGTGGAGGCTCGCGGTACGCGCGGCGCCTGGACACCTCCCCGGGTGGGCGCGGGGGCGGCGGTGGGGGCGCGGGAGAACTGGAGCCCCTGAGTGGGAATCTCCGCGGGAGCTTTGGACCCACCCCCACCGAGCCCGAGGTCAGCGCCTCCCTCTGCCCCAGGGCTGGACATCGACGGCCTGTACCGCATCAGTGGAAACCTGGCCACCATCCAGAAGCTGCGCTATAAGGTGGACCACGGTGAGGCCCGGCTCCCGCCGCTAAGCCCAGGGCCTGAAGGCTCCAAGGGGGCGCTGACCACCTCTTCCCACCCCCTCTCCCCCCCTTGCCGCAGATGAGCGCCTGGACCTGGACGACGGGCGCTGGGAGGACGTGCACGTGATCACCGGAGCCCTGAAGCTCTTCTTTCGAGAGCTGCCGGAGCCCCTCTTCCCCTTCTCGCATTTTCGCCAGTTCATCGCTGCCATCAGTGAGCGCCTGGGGGGGGAGGGATGGGGTTGGGACAGGGCCGGCCTGCAGCGGCCACCCCCTGGGCGGACCCCTCTCCCCCCACCGGGTTGCAGCCTCTCAGTTGCCCTCGCCGAGCCGACCCTCCCTTCCCCAGAGCTGCAGGACCAGGCCCAGCGCAGCCGCTGTGTGCGGGACCTGGTGCGCTCGCTGCCCGCCCCCAACCACGACACTCTGCGGCTGCTCTTCCAGCACCTGTGCAGGTGAGCCGGAGAGCCAGCCGCGGGAATGGGGAGGCGGGTACTGGCGGCGCCCCCCACACACACCCGCCAAAGCCCCCTCCAGCTCTGGGCCCTGACCCCCACCCTCACTCGTCTCCCCTCTGCAGGGTAGTCGACCACGGCAATCAGAACCGCATGTCCGTGCAGAGCGTGGCCATAGTGTTCGGGCCCACGCTGCTGCGGCCCGAGACCGAGGAGACCAGCATGCCCATGACCATGGTGTTCCAGAACCAGGTGGTGGAACTCATCCTGCAGCGGTGCTCAGACATTTTCCCGCCGCACTGACCGCGGGCTCCTACCCCCACCCTCGGGGCTGGCGCTGCAGACCTGGGACTGAGGGCAGCGACAGTGGTCCTGCCTTAGAAGCTGGACGGTTTGAGGCCGCTTGGCCAGATTCACCGGTGAGGCCCTCGACCTCCCACAGGTCCGCAGGCGGAAGAGTAATCTGCGCCCCTTGGTGCAGTATGGTGACCCCTGGGGGGCGTTTGCAAAATGTGATTTTTGCAGTATGGTGACCCCCACTCCCACTCCCACCCTCGGCCTGTCCTATTTCGGAGCTTACTTGGGTTCTGTTCTTTATTACAGCGACACCTACTGTGTGCGTGTGAGAATGTGTTGGGGTGAGAGTTTGTTTTTCGGGATCCTTCTATTGGAGGAGGAAGCCTTGGGTGAGGGGCTTCTTGGCTTTTTCAGGCCTGCCTCCCCTCCTCCGCCCCTCCCCAGTCCCCCGTGTCAGCCCTGGGACAGCGGCCTACAGCTCCCCTGCTGCCCTGCCTTGTCTCGGGGCCAGACTCCTGCTTGACACTCTCAGTGGCTGATGGTGGACGGTTTTCACCTGCTTTCCTGTTCTGGGCAGGCCTCTGCCCTCCCTGACCCACTTGTGTTTTGTGCACCGGCTGTTCATATTAACTGTGTCCCTCACACTGGCTACGAGACATGCACCATTTCCACACGCAGTCACATTTGACAAGTGAAGAGGGTGTGGCAGTGGCAAAGTGACTTGTTCGGGGTCCTGTGGGCCACCTGACTGCCTCACAGACTCCTCTCACAGCACAGCACAGCCTCGGGAGGGCCACGTCAGCTCTTTCAGCTACCTCCCCCCCCCCCCGCACCCCTCCACACCCGTCATGTGCTCACGGGCAGAGCAAAAGAAACTAAGGCAAATGGGTTCTGTCAGGGCCTGGGGAGATGCTGGAGGCAGACAGGAAAACTGCCCAGCTCTTCTGCTCTGCCGGTGGGCAAGTAGCAGGAGTCCCCAGCTCTCAGCATCTCTGCTGTCAGGCTACCTGCCCGGTGCCCACCTTACCCTCGGGAGCTGGGAGAGGCCTGCAGGGCTGGAAGAAGGAAGGGGCAGCCATGCCCTTTCTCTCCTCAGGCACAAACCCCTTCAGCTTCTGGGTTTCGGGCCACCTGCCCCACAAACTGTTGGTCTGTTCAACAAACAATAATAGCTAATATTTATTGACATTTGCACCCTGCCAAGCATTTCACTTGGATCGTCTCATTTGTTTCTCACAGCCAATATTTATTATCTGCTCTTCTGTGCCAGGCTCAGTGCTCTGGGGTAGGGGTACTGCGAGTGCAGCCTCACTGGTAGAGCCTGCGGTTGGTGGCAGGCCCAAGCCCACCGCAAATGCCAGCAGGGCCGGGACAAGAGTACAGATGGAAGCCTCACACCATACACTGCAATACTGTAAAGTTACAAATCAAGTTATAACTGTTAAATAAAATATGCTCTATTCTCCTACTCTGACAAATATACTTTCATAATGACCTAGAAGACTAAACTTCTTTGATTCTTCTGAATCCTATACGCGGGTAGGTTGGCATAAGAGCTGGCTCTGCTGTCAGCCTGCCCCCTGTGGCTGGCCACCCTCAGAGCCATCCTGGCCCAAGGGAAGTCCACTTGCACATATGTGGACAGTCCAGTCCACTAGCACAAACTGCCACACCCCCTGCCACTTGCTGCCCCGTGGCCACCCCACATGATCCATCCTTAAGGGAAGGGGCCTGGGGCCATTGGAGCAGGGAATTCTGGGGTCTTGCATGTTAGGGGTATGGTCCAAAGGGAAGGGTCCAGGCTCCAAGGGGCCTGTGGGGAGAGGCAGACAGAGAAGGTCAAGAGTAGAGCCTTCTAAAGCGGGGACTCACAGCAGAGCAAGGAGTCCTCAACCCTCCAAAAGCTATGAAAAAGCACAGGGTGTTCTGAAGGTACGCCCCTCGGAGGTCACTGTTCCTCAGGAACCTGAGATGCTTCTGCGGAAGCCCCATTTGAGCCCAGCACTAAAGAATGAAGAGGAGTCCTCAAGGTGAGGAACTAAGAGAAGGGTATCTAGTCAGAGGGAACAGCATGTTCAAAGGCTCTGCAGCAGGAAGGCTCGAGGAGAGAACAAAATCTGAAAAGAACCCACACAAGCAGTGAGCGTGGGTGTGAGGTGAGGCCAGAGAGGCTGGCAGGGACAGGGTGTGCGGGGCCTTGTGGGCCACGGTGAATGGGGACCTGTGGCAGGACAGCTGGCAGGAGGACCCTTGGGCAGGGAGGTCTTGGGAAGTGTCAGCTCCCCCGTCTGATCCTCACCGCACCCCAGGCTTCTGATCCTGCCAATGCCTTGGTCAGCAAACAATGCAGCAGCAGCCAAAGAAGTCCTAGAATCATCATGATTTGTCACCAGTTTCAGAAATCAGCCGCTGCCAATGAGTAAACACTGCAAGAGGTGATGTCATAACTCACCGGAAGTCACAGGGCAGATGGGTGGCAGAGCATGCCCAGAGCTTCATTTGCAGTCAGGGCCACCGGAAGTGTGGGCTCAACCAAAGATCAAGACCGAGCGCAGTGCTCAGGGAGCGCCATTGGTGCTCACTGACTATGTTCGGAACAAATTGGCTTTTGTGTAGAGACACAAAGATGTAAAAATAGCATCTGCCCTCGTGAAGCACCAGCTGGTTGGGGAATAGACCTAAAAATAAATGCCACAGTTGATAAGGGCTGTCGCAGAGGGCCCTGTCCCCAAGCCTGCCCCCTCTCAGCAGATGCTCCAGACCCTCCTGCAGCCTGGCATCTGCCCCTGAAGCCGCCATAGCAAAGGTCACCAGTGCCCGCCTGGTCATGAAGTCTGACGGACATTCCCAAACCTCACGCAAGTGGACACGTGAACTGACTCTTGTCCTGCCGTGACACGCTCTTCCTTTGCCTGCAGCATCATGGGTCTTCGCCCACCCTGTAAATAGTGATGCCCTCTGGGTGGCAGCCTCAGCCTGTTGCCCTTTCCCCTCCACCCTCCCTAAGGGCCCTCACCCATTCCATCCTGGGGACCCAGGCATCAGGACTGCGCATGGGTCACCCAAATCTCTTACCAGCCAGGACCACTCTCCTGAGTTCCAGGTGCAAATGGCCTCCAGCTTACAGGACATCTCTGCCTGGATGGCTGCCAGACACCCTGAGTGCAACCTGCCCGCAACCATACCCCGAAACCAGCCTATCTCCCTGTTCCCAGGCACAGAGGTTTACCAGAGTCTCCTTCCCCCTCCCCCATAGCCAGGCAGCCACCATCCTTTCCTAACTATTCCCTGATCTGCCTCCCATCCCCCTCAGTCTCTCACTTGGGTGACACGGTGGCCTCTGAATGGGCTCCTCTCTTTCCCTTTTCATCCTCCACCCAGCAGTCATCTGACTGTAGCTTCCAAGGCCATTCCAGCCCGTCTCCCACCTCTTTGCACACCAGCTGTGCCCCTGCCTACAGCTCCCAGCCACGCTGTCCCCACCTCAGTGCCCAGGGCTGCCACTCACCCTGCCTTCCTCTCTTTCACCTGCTGACTTCACCTCCCCCTCTTCCCCCATCCTCCTCCTCCTCCTCCTCCTCTTCCTCCTCCTCCTCCTCGCTGCTCTCAGCTCACCGCCACCCCCCCCCCAGCTCTCAGCACACTGGCCTCCCTGCACTGTAAATGTGCTTCTACCTCCAGCTCTTCCTCACAAGGCTGTAGGCCAGCACATCTTCACCCTTCTCTTTACAGCCAAGTAAACCCCATCGTATGGAGACACACATTTCTCTCTTCATTCATTCATTGATGAACATTTGGCTTATTCCTATTTTTTGACTATTATGCATAATGTTGCTGTGACTATGTACGAGGTTTTATGTGGACACACTGTCCCAGCTTCCAACACAAAATGCCATAGACTGGGCACCCTAAACAACAGAAATCATTTCTCACAGTCCTGGGGCTGGAAGTCTCAGATCAGGCCACCAGCGTGGTGGGGCTCTGGTGCAGGCTGTCTTCCTGGCCTGCAGACGGGCTGCCTTCTGGCTGAAAGAGAGAGCTCATCTCTTCCTCTTCTTCTTCTTTTTTTTTTTTTAGACTTATTTATTTTAGAAAGAGCGTGCATTGAGCGAGGGGGAGGAGCAGAGGGAGACTCTCCAGCAGACTCCCCACTGAGCAGGGAGCCCATCTCAGGCCACCATCCTAGGACCCTGAGCCGAAACCAAGAGTCTGACGCCTGACTGTCTCTTCTATAAGGACAGGAATCCCATCCTTGTGGGCCCTACCTCCCAGGGTCACCACATTGGAGTTAGGGCTTCAACATATGAATCTGGGAGACCACAAACATTCAGCCCATCCACATATGTTTTAATCCCCTGGGGTACATGCCTGCTAGCGGAATTGCTGGGTCAGACGGTCACTCTGTGTTTAAATTCATGATGAACTGCCGAACTAGAGTCTTCTATGGCGGCCACACCATTTTACATTCTCATCAGCCACGCGTGTTTCTGTTCTCTCCCGTTTTCCGCAACGATTGTTTCAGGGATTCATTCTCCTCAAACCTCCGGCCCTGCCTGCCTCTCCCTCTCCCTCTCCCACTCCCTCTTATCCTCCAGATGACCTCACCTCTACCTCACAGAAATGATGGAAACCCTCAGCATCCCACCAGCCAAGACCGCAGCTCTCCCACCACATCCTCCCTTGCCTCCCTGCCCCTGGTACCTCAGAGCAGACATCTCTGCTAATCTTTTCCCATTTCTGGAAAGTATCTGCCACCATGGCCACCTTTCTCTCCTCCTCACTGAACTGCTGTCTCAGGCAGGACTCCCCAGGAAGTAGAGAGAAGCATGTGGGAAGTTCATGGAGGGAGTGCTCTCAGGACCACACCTGGTGTGGCGCGGGGCAGGGGGCGGGGGGAGGGGGGGAAGGCCGCAGGATCCAGCAGAGGGGAACTGACCCAAATGCAGGCCCATCTCAGGCCTCCACTGACCCCACGGGTAGCTCTAGAGCTGGGCTAGCCTCAGCGTTGTCCCACACTGTGGCTAGGGGGGCAGACCTTTAAACTGCCTTTATCATCCAGAGACCTCCTTGGAGGGCTAGGGGAGAGCCCTTGAATTTGGGCAAAAAGACTCTCTTCAGCCCAAGGCATGTCCTAGAGAGCCCCTCAGATGGGACCTGTTAGGGAAAATAAGTGCCCAGGGCACCCACTACAGCATCCAGCGAGCTCTGTCCTCTCCTTATTCCTTGACCCACACACACCATCAGACTCCTGAATTTCCCTCAAAACTCACCCATGACCCCACATCGATAACTGCTGGACATATTAGTTGTCCCCTCAGGAGCACCCCATCTGACCACCCCTTCCTTGGAAACATCCTCTTCCTCTTGGCTTGCGCACAACCACATTCTTCTGGTGGTCCTCCCACTCCAGCCACAGCTTCTCATTCTCTTCCTCCCAGCTGGAAAGGTCAGTGTCCTTGGGCCAAGCCACTCCTCGCCCTCTGTACTCCCTCCCTGGGTGATACTGTCCACACCCAGGGCATCGGTGACTCACTCATGGGTAGCACCAGGCCTAGCTGCTCCTAGAAGCTTCAGGCCACTGTGTCTGCCTGACAACCTGACACCTGCCTGGGATGGTCCTCAGGCTGGATTCATGATCTTCCCCAAACCTAGCCCTTCCTGTCCCAGGACATGGATGCGTTATCCTCCAAGCTGGGTAAGTCAGAAACCTGGGAGTATGGCCCTCTCCCTCTCTGTCCCCCTCTCTTCCACCCTCCACACCGGATCTATGCCTGCATCCTGTCCATTCTACCTCTCACTTCCACCCACGTCTCTCCAACTAGGGCCCACTCATCTCAGAGGCTCACATCTCCTGCCTGGACCCCTGCAGTACCTCCCAGCCCCTCCCCTCCCCACATCCTCTTTCCCCCTCACCCCACCCACACTCATTCAAAAATACAAACCTTGGGCAGCCCCAGTGGCTCAGCGGTGGCTCAGTGGTTTGGCACCGCCTTCAGCCCAGGGCATGATTCTGGAGACCCAGGATCCAGTCCCACAGTCCCACGTTGGGCTCCCTGCATGGAGCCTGCTTCTCCCTCTGCCTGTGTCCCTGCCTGCCTGCGTGTGTGTGTGTGTGTGTGTGTGTGTCATGAATAAATAAATAAAATCTTTAAAAAAATACAAATCTTAATAAATAAATAAATAATTTTAAAATGAAAGGATAAATAAAAATACAAACCTGATTATATTATCACCTTGCTTAAAAAGCATTTGGCTCGGGGATCCCTGGATGGCTCAGCGGTTTGGCACCTGCCTTTGGCCCAGGGCGCAATCCCGGAGTCCCGGGATCGAGTCCCACGTCAGGCTCCTGGCATGGAGCCTGCTTCTCCCTCTGCCTGTGTCTCTGCCTCTCTCTCCTCTCTCTATGACTATCATGAATAAATAATAAAAAAAAATTAAAAAAAAAAAGCATTTGGCTCATCTTAGGAA